TATTATATTATTACTATATTATTATCTATCAATTGTATTTTTAAATCATAATTTTTTTTATTTTTTTTAAATTAAATGAAGTTTTTTTTTAATTCAAAGAAAATTTTAAAATCTTTAAAAAAAAAATTAAATAATATTGAAATTATATCATTCCGTTTAACTATCATAAATATTATAAATTGCATTACATTATAAAAAAAATATAATGCAACAAATTATATAATCGATAAAGATATTTTATTCAATATCATAATTGTGACAAAAAAAAGTTTATTTATAAATTATTTAATAATGAATCATTTGAGAAAAAAAATAATATCAATTTAATAATTAATATATTTATAATTAATATGTTCATTTATAATCGAAATATCCAAAAGATTTTAATAAAAATTATGTTATTTATTTGAATAATAAATAATAAATGAATTCTTATTTCTCAGATTTTCTTAGGATTTGCAACGATGGTTTGTGCACAATATAATAGATACCCGTATAACCCTGATTATTATGGTCGACGTTTTGCTATACTGCGACAAACGCAAAATTCTTCTCCGGATGGATCATATTCTTACAGGTGAGATCGTCCTTCTACATTGTTCTGAACTTCAAAAGCAATAAGCGTTGTCGACGTACGTTTCCTCAAAAGCAATCTCGACACGCTCGAAGAATCTCATTGTCAGTCTTAAAAATACATCGTCATTTATTCATTCTTCGTTTTGAATTTTTAATATTTTGATAATATATCCTAAATTTAATTTGGATTTTATTCATTTTTTATATTAATGATTTATTAACACCTTTCATTCATTAATTTTAAATATCTTTTTTTTTCAATGAAATATTGTAATATAAATATATGATTGTTATATACAATATTTAGATTAATGTAATAATAATTTCATAAAATATATTATCATGTAAAAATGATAATAATATTGAATTAAGAATTATAAAAATTATATTTTTAAAAATATTATAAAAACTTTTGCTTATATTATTATTATATTATATTCAATTTATATATATACATTTATTTCATATGTATTTCATGTTAAAATCATTTCATGTTAAAATTTGAATCATGAAATTATTACATAAATATATAAATCTTATCTATATTCTTAATAATTTTTGTTAAATTTAGTTTAATGAAAAAGAGATTTTATTTGATGTTATTAATAATTTAATTTTATCATATATTTTCTTATAAAAATTACGTATTTGATGTGAAATTTCTATATAAGTTAATATATATATATTTTTTATATATAGTAATTTAGTTTTCTATCATACTTGATTTCCTTTGACCTTGATAGAAAATAAACTTTAAATTTAACACGAACAAATCTAACATTTAAGATTAAATTAACTTTTAACATAAAACCGAACTTATAAATTGTTCATAAAAGAATTTTTTATTTTATAAATTCTATATATTTATAGTGTTTATTATAAATATAGTATTTTTTTTAAATAAATAAAATATTTCTTCTCAATTAATAATGAAATCGCATTATATTTTATAAAAAAATTTAATATTTATATCTCAAATACAAAAAATTGTATTATAATATTTATATGACGTACATATATTTATATCTTATCAAATTCTACTATTTAATTAAATACTAATATCTATTATATATCTATTATATATATACTAAAATATTATTATTATTGATACATTTAATTCTTTTATATTTAAAAATTATTACATATTATTACATATATTTAGAAATACTAAATTTGTGAGTAATAATTTTATTAAATTAGTATTTTAGTAAATTAGTAGAAGTATTTTAATAATTTTAATTTTAAATTTTAATAATTTAATAAATGAAGTATTATTTAATAAAAAACATTGAATAATGAATATTATTCAATTATAAAATATCTATTGAAATTTTTTATTTGATTAATAAATGAAAGCATAAGATTGAAATAAAAATATAAAGTATAAAATAAAAAAATCTTCATTTAATGATTCAAATAATTTAAATAATATAAAAATAATGTAAAACATTAAATTAAGAATTATCATGATATCAAAAATCGTGAAAAATATAAAAATTATATAAAATATAAAATGAATCTTCA